ACAACCTTACATCCGATGGCATCTATCATTTCATTGTAGTAACACCGTACCGAATAGGGTTGGTAGGGTAGCCTAGTGGTTGAAGCCTTCGCTTGTCTCGCCGCAGACCCAGGTTCTATTCCCCATGAGTACAATGTGTGGAGCCAATGATGTCCTCCGCCGTGATATTGCTGTTATGTTTCTAATGGGTGTAAAACCATACCCACTCACTTATCAGACATAATGTTCGGCTTGACCTGCAAACGCTGAAATTATTCAGACACCCAATCGCCCCATCCCCGGTAGTCTTTATGTGTGACACAGACATATATGACATGAATCGCATTATGTAAAGTGTACAATAGATATACATGTAGTCTCAAAGAATTCACAAATTTCTTCACAAATTTTACATTATTACTGTTAAGCCTATACGAAATCTCACATATGGCACATTGAATTGTTGCAATTCTTATGTGATCAAATTTAAACTTGTGATCAAATTTAACCAACCACCCCCCACCCCCACCCAACATCCACCCCCCACCCCCACCCCCACCCCCACCCCCCACTCACATAACCACACACCCCTTTCCGTCTCCGTCTTTTTTGGTTTTTAAGGCCGTTTTCATATAACTGGAATATTGCGACATTAAACTACAAACAAACAAACCGTCAAAAGCGGAATCTTCCACTGGGTGACTCTCCTGAGTTGCTTCTATACTCTTACAACGTGACATGTTGAGTATATATTTGTCATATAATTGGTAGAATTCTCGGCTGGGTAAAGTCAACGACCGAAGACCGTGTCAATTAGGGTAATTACCGATAAATATGAAAGAACAAAACGTCAGGTTGGAACTTTACTTTCAGTGTTTACAAAAAGAAAACATGGCGTGGTGCTTGTCTAACATTCAGCAAGGCATATTGTAACCATGTGTTTGTTATCGTCATCAAAATTATAGTCTCAAATATCGAAACTCGGTGTGTATAAAACACCTTTCAGTTGTTAATCAAGGACCTTGTGACGTAATATATTAATGTTCATGTCACGTGCAGGAAAACGTGAAGTGTATATAGGTACTGTCTGTGAATGCTGAGCTGAGGTCAAGTTGAAAATGGGTTTAGTGTCGCGTAACATCTGTTAATGTTGCCTTTAAATTTTTGAAAGACATTGTGTATTCATATCTAAACTTAATTTAAAAAACCCGAAGCTTGTCAACAACACTCTACGCTCATTAAAATCGTTTATAAAAGCAGAATCACAATTTGCTTATAAATTTCATGCGAAAGGACCACCCATTTGTCTGTTCCCTCAAAACACAGGAGTCTGCACGACTAGACGACATAGTTAGACATATATTACCCGCTAAAAAAATATACATTTCAAGCTAAATCACTTTTCGTATTAGATTGTTCACTACGTCCTTGGAAATATTAAAAACTGGGCCTCGAAATAAAACGAAACTGAATCAGAGTCGGTGGCACCGCTATCGTCAGAATCAACTCATTATTCGTATGATATATGTCGGATTAGGATCCGCCCTTGGCGTTTTGCAAATCCTTGTCAAAATTTCATCGACTTGATTGAAGGGATTTACTGAATAGATACGGCGGCGGGGGTATTGTTAGTTATAGTAAAAAGTCCGCATACATAGACTATCGTCTAAACGGCGGTGACCCGCTGTCGAGTCGTTGTGTCTTACCGTCGTGTTCTGTTCATAATGCTATTCACATAAACAACCCATCACTGTGATCCTAAGGGACAGAAGATACAATCGTACAGTGTAGACTAGGAGAAATCTCGCCAGGTACTGGCCATTTTGAAACAATGAAAAGATTGGTATCGCGTCGAACGACCAAGACAGGCACCTACGATGTCTACATAAACCGCGTTGTCTCGTCACAGCCGTATTTTTCGACAGCGTTTAGACACTTTTCTAAATCTCTCTTTACAGCTTGCTCTTATGCTAGAAACAGCACCACGATAGCATCTGAATATATGTCCATAGCCAAAGAAAAATATTACACCTTGTCAACATTGTTTGGAAAAGAGAGGGTCTCAGAATATCTCCTTGTCATAGCTCTGGAAATTTCTTGTCAGGTTTGAAATATAAACTGCGATTGGGATCTCCTCCTCGTTAATAGGATTGTTTGGACCCCCGCTAACTAGACGCCATGTCGAAAAATATAACCAGCGTAGTAATTCATCCGCTATTGTCCACTGTATCTGCCTTCTAGCCCCATAGCCAGATTAGGATCAATTGTCGCCCTTTGTCTGCAAGGTTTACACCACGAGACGCTTTGTCACAGCCACATTTGGGTTTATAACTCAATTCACATGCTATTTCTCACAGATGAAAACATTCTAGCTATCTTTTTTTAAAATTCAGTAACAGCTTTCCTTGAGCTGATGTGCATATGTTCAGTAAACTTCGGTTATAACGAACTCAAAGGGACCAATATTTTTTGTCCATTGTAACCGCAGTTCGTTTTAAGCAAATGGCTGGGCCCAAAAACCACAGTTCGTTATATCCGTCACTTCGTTATAAGCGTGTTCGTTATAAACATAGTTTACTGCATATATAATATTTTTACAAAATTGACCTAATGTTGTTCAGATTACTGTGAAATGGAAAACCGAATGTCAGTGGTTGTTAACAAACGAATGTTGGCAATTACTAACGTTTATGAATGACTCTATGAGCATTTAAAAAAATTAGAGACAAGACCTGATTGTATTTTACTGTGTGCTCTCTAAATATTTTAAACTTATGTCTTCCTCCGTATTTATTATAATACGTAGGCATCCTTTTCGAGTTGTTCGAGGCACATCATTTATGCATTTGTTTTCATTGTTAACCACGGAAGTGAGAATCTGTATTCAAAGATATGAACTGTTGGGCGAAAGAGAGTACACACCCATGTTTGATGGTGGCTAAAAATGAAAGAGATTGTTTTTCGGCTGAAGAAATGGTTATTCGGGTACATTTGATACGGGTATCGTAGTTGTGTTTTCGACCTTACGTTTGCAATGTTTCGGCGACTGTTTTCTAGTAACGTTTTGATAACATTTGGAATTTTTTGTCAAATTTTCAAATACAGTAAAGTACGGTTATAACGAACTCAAAGGGACTACTAATTTTAGTTCGTTATAACCGTAGTTCGTTATAAGCATATATACAGCATAACTACAGCAAATAGTCGGGACCAAAAAAGTAAGTTCGTTATATCCGTAAGTTCGTTATAAGCGTGTTCGTTATAACCGTAGTTTACTGTATATACTTTCTTTTGCCCGGCAGTTTGTTCAAGTAGTTTATGATTGTATGTCTTGTATGTGCATGAATATTCCCAATGAAGTTTTGTAAATAAAACTTTCTTGCGAAGACCATACGTGTCTTTAGAAAAAATGTTACCTGCATAGTGCATATACACAGACCCACGTCATACTGGGTGAGTGAGTTAATTGGGTTTTACACCCTTTGAACACTATTCCAGTTATATCACGACGCACCTGCTCAAAGTGAAGCATTCATCAGACGTTTACCACTTTCGTGAAACCCACGAGCACGGGTGTGGTGCTGACAAACCTTGAAACATAATCTGGCGAACCAGGATTCGAGTCCACGATTATTTTTTTCAGGCACGCTTAGTGGAGCAACTCTTCATTCTAAAAAGTAACATATAATTACGATATAATAAAATAAATAAAAATAACTGACATCCATATTTTCATATGGTTTATGATAAGGTGACACGTTCACGTGCACAACTAACTTTAATCACCAAAGAAAGACTTTCTTCAACGCACCTACTCTGCAATGTACCGTCGTTCAAGTGTCAAAAAAGATTTCTTGGCAAGCAGCACGACCCTTTTCTTACAATGACTTACGGTCGTCTTACGGCCCCATGTTATCCGACCAGTAGCAATAGACAAGCAACGACGCTCTTCTAGTGATACAGAACGGACGGAGGCTTGTCAGGGCTGTGGGTTAGCAATGGCGCGCATCCCGCCAGCTCTAACAGAAGATTAATATCTATATATACCAGATGGGGGAGGTCAACGGGTGCATTAAGTAGGTTTTGGTGGGGAATGTAGTTTGATTGATATATACTGTCTGTCTACCATGGATTCAGTGGGGTTGTATTTATAGGCAGCGTTCACGCTTGGCTCCACCATGTCCCAGGGAGGGGCATATTGCGAAGGGAGATCGGGGCGCGGAGTGTGTGTGAAGGGGGGGGGGGGGGGGGGGGGGGGTATTTTTGACGTTTTAGATACGTCGCCACTTAATTTATATTCCGGTGTGGTAGTAGCACTTTGTTCTATGTACAAAATAAAGTGTCCGTTAGGGCCTGCTGAACGCCCGCAAATAGGATGTTTTGTCAGAGAACTAGAGTTCGGTAACTTCCAGAGATATACTACAAGTAGTGAGCGATCTATTCTGTCCCTAATTTCCAAAACATTAAATGCAACATGGTACTTGTACTCCTTGTATCCCAATTAGAAATGTACGGAAGCCCATTAGGGCCATGAACATGTCTTGTCTTGAACATTCAAACTGCCAAGTTGAAACTTCAAGGTATTAAGTTGAACATTCAAGATACTGTTTATAAAATTCAAGATAAACTGGAGGCGGTGACGTAGCCTAGTGGTTAAGGCGTTGGCTCGTCACGCCGAAGACCACGGTTCGATTCCCCACATGGGTACAATGTGTGAAGCCAATTTTCCGCTGTGATATTGCTGGAATATTGCTAAAAGCGGCGTAAAACCATACTCACTACGATAAGCTGAATTCAACAAATGAACTTCCCATTTTCTGCTTAGAGCTCACACTGTTTCCTGAAAATATTTTTCAGGATAAGAACTTTAATTTTCAAGATGAAAAAATAATAATTTTGTGGCCCTAATGGGCTTCCGTAGAAATGCTACAGACTCAGCTTGAAATGGAGGTCGGTCCCTGAGAAGAAACATGGCTTATTTCATGAGGCATAAGCATCACTGTTATGTTGTTTATCGACAGAGACGGGGTGCACTTTAGACGGACGTAAATATGCTGTGGGCGAGACGTGGCACCCGGTCCTTAGGCCCCTTGGAACTACACCTTGCATCAACTGCACGTGCGAACAGGTGAGTAAATAGAAACTGGCGACAAATACATTACCACGTGACCCAACAGACGACCACTCCGCCATCTTGGCGTCCAACGTCTGCCCGGTGTTGGGGTCGTCTCAAGCGTTCAAAAGTTTAATAGTCAAATCTTAATTTCTTCATTATTTCCTACTTTCCTATGTAAGTGGAATGAAAAGCCTACTTTATTTATATTACCGGTCAAAGGGTTTCACTTCACTCGGCACGTAAACATGTTCCACGGCGAAGGAATATAAGTACATTACAAGTTGTGAGACGGTCCCCGGTAGTTCATGAGGTTTTAATGTCTTGACCGGAGTGTATCAACATGGGGGGCACTTTATTCCGCTAGCAGATAATGTGACGCTTCCTTGTCTGGACGCAAGGTTTTAGAGAGACGAAAAGAAAACTTAAGAGTAATGACGAACATTGTTTACCTCCGTGAATTAAGAGACAAAATTTTGAAAGAAAAGAAACTCTAGCTTCAAACTATTGTGAAACAATTTATGTCACGTCAGCAGTATTCCGTCATTGTGATATAAGTCAAAGAAAACGTTGAGCTAGGCATCTTAGATTATTCTTTCTCAAAATCTATTTCAACCTCATCTTCAATTATCCAGTGTATTATTATTCTATTAGACTCGTGAAGATCCGGGGTAGAATAGGTCTTCAGTAACCCATGCTTGCCGTAAAAGACTCGCTGACTTGGTTGATGCATGTCTTCATATCCACATTGCGTGGATCGACGCTCATGATGTCAACCACTGGATTGTCTGATCCGGACTTGATTATTTACAGACCGCCGTCATAGAGCTGAAATATTGATGAGTGCGGCGTTAACCAACAAACAAACAAACAAACAAACATTATTCTATTACGATCAATACCGTGCCACAGCTTCGTGAAGAACGATTGGAATGACCCGATGGCGTCACGTCCAAGGCGAAACTATGAAGGCGAATAGGCCCAGGAACCCGTTCCACAAAGTGATCTTAGTGCTAAGTTGGTCGTAACTCCCATACTTTATCATAGGCTTACGATCAACGTGGCACTAAGATCGCTCTGTGGGACGCGGCCCAGGATGTTTATCCAAAAGACGCTGGACCCATTCGCCAGCATAGTTCCGTTTTAAGATTAGAGTGAGTGAGTGAGTATGGTTTAATGCCGCTTTTAGCAAGATTCAAGCAATATCACACAGGGAAGCCATGAGGGGAATCAAACTCGGGTCTTCGCCGTAACGAGCCAACGCTTTAACCACCAGGCTACCCCGCCGCTCCTTTTAAATTTTGAAGTTCAGATTAAACGTAACTGAGGGTAGAATTAAATTCTACAGATGAAATATGAACCGTCGCTGGGTGCGTTTCTGTCAAGTGGACTTTAACGTGGTTTGCTTCATGTCAGGTGAGCTAATTATAATGTGTCGACGTCACAACGACGTTGTTTACTGTTGGGTCGTTTTGCCTGTCAATCACGCATATCCTTTCAACCCAACATGCGTCATGTACAGAAATTTGAAAAATGTTCAGGGTTGTGACGCCATCGTAAAAAAGATTATTTCGGAATGACGTGCAGGTCATGAAAACAGAACCAGTGTATTAGTTTGTTAATTTTTTAATGTTTTTAGCTCACCCGAACCGAAGGTTACTGTGAACAAATAGCAAGTGTTATGCTGAGTGAGGGAGATTGGTTAAAGCCGCTTTGAACAGTATTCCAGTTATATCACGGCATATCAGCTTGATGTGGGAGGAAAGCCCGAAGTGATACAGGTCTCAAACGTTTACAATTTAAGTCAAACCCACATGCACAAGTATGGTGCTGACAAATCTAGACCCATAAAAGGGTTGAAACGGAATTCGATCCCACGCCTAAGGGACGCAACTCCGCAAGATTCCCAGGGAATAAATAGCACAGTGTGTGATGTATATGCCAGTTATTTGGTCTTGAAAATTGAAAAAAAATAAAGTAAACATTCCCATCATTTTGGACATATGTTAGTTTGTTTTTTCATATGTAGGTCTGACATATGACGTGTGTGTTGCCTGTGGGATATGCCCGAGTCTTCCTTTCATGTTGACAGTCTCGTGACTGTCTTGTTAGCTCTTCAAGACAGACTGATTAATCATCAGCCTCTGACATCTGTTGAAATCGAGTAACATATAAAATTCGTACATATTTATGATGTTTTGATTCATATTCCTGAACAGGATATGTGTTTTGTTATGTTTGTATTTCCTCGATGAATAATGGACCTGTTTGTGGTGAATAAAGACAAGATGGCGTCAAGGGATTACAGTGTGATATAGTTTTATGATAGCCGTTATTCATAATTTTACATGTATACCAACTGACTCCTTAATACTTCGGGGGCACGGGTGGCCCAGTCGTCTGAGGCGTCGCAATTCGCTGTGCAGAGTTGCGTCCCTTGGGCACGCCAGAAATCTTTGATTGTGGTTTGAATCCCGGTTCGCCCCGATTATGTTCCTAGCTTTGTCAGCACCATACTCGTGGTAAATGTCTCAGACCTGTATCACTTCGAGCTTTCCTCCCACATTAAGCTGACACACCGTGATATAACTGGAATACTATTCAAAGCGGCGTTAAACCCAACTCACTCACCTTAATACTACTTTACAAAGTGGCGGTGAGATGCTTAGTGGCAGAAACGATTACTTATCGCGACTAAGTCCAGGTTCGAATCCATACATGGGTTTATTGTATGAAGCCAATGTTTCTGAAATATTGTTGAAAACAATCGCTCACTCTAAACAGAAACGAGTGAGAGAGTGAGTATGGTTTTACGCGGCTTTGAGCAATATTCGAGCGATATGACGGCGGTGGACACCAGAAATGGGCTTTATACTGACAAGAGAGTCATTATGTTTGTCATATACAATACAGATAAACATCCTGCCTCTTTGTCAGTAAGTCTTTCACAAATGTTCCCAACAGGTCCGAGTAGACTGGTTTTTGTCTTTACACATCATAAAGCGTCTGAGCGCCAAGGGCGCAACCGGATAAGAAGGTCAATTCCAGCCGTTTAAGGGGGTGACAGTTTAAAAACGTAATGAGCCTCAACCTATACAGTCCAGAAAGGAACGATCAACGACATGCTAGAAACTTTGAAAAACAACATATCTTAATAACAGTGGTGTCTTGGAGCGCTGACTGAAAGAAACATCACACACATAGACTGCACACAGGCACACACAGAGACACGCATACACAACAACGCATGCACACAATATCTCACTCTCTCTATATATATCTCTCTCTCTCTCTCTCTCTCTCTCGCTCTCTCGCTCTCGCCTATCAAAGCAAAAAAAACAACTTACATCCGGGGCTCTTCTCCTATTGAAATTGCCAGCGTGTTATCCTATAGATGATTAATTCGATACCTCCTATCTAGTCGAAACGTATAGCTGGGCGTTACCCGTTTTCTTCAGATGAAAATGATAGAAAATTGACCCCTTCCAACCGCGTTTTTGTCGGTAATACCCGACACAATGACACCATTGGACTCGATTAATCAATTTCTTTCAGCACGGGTTATTTCAAGGGGTGACAAAACACGGATAACATCTTTGCGGTGTCAGATTGCACACCAAACACAACCTTCTCCACCTCTGGACAGCATTTCTTGAAATGATGAGTTATTGGCGGGTGTTTAGTGTGGCTGGGCATCATGGGAGATTTATAGGAAATGCCACGGTATAAACCGGACTTTCTATCAAAATTCAGCCGTATTGATGACAAACAACAATGTCGTTAGAGATTTTGTTTTCGTTTGGTGGAGACAGATCTACAACATTCTCCCTGGCGTTGTCAACAAGGGGGCTGACCAGAGTGACTTTAAGCTAGGGTCCGACTTTTTTTGGTGAAAAAAATAACTTCATTCATTAGACTTGATAAACTGGAAATAAACAAAAGGATACATCCGTGTTAGACGGTGGCTAAAAATGAACAAAAAGAAATGGTCATTGGATGGTGACCTATTTGGTACTGGTATCATTGGTGATATTACTTGCTTTATATCAATGTTTGTTTGTTTGTTTGTTTGTTTGTTTTGTTTAACGCCGGACTCAGCAATATCCCAGCTTTATGACGGCGGTCTGTAAATAATCGAGTCTGGACCAGACAATCCAAATGTGACATCATGACTATCGATCCACGAAATTGGGATACGATGACATGAATCAACCAAGTTAGCGGGCCTGACACCCGATACCGTTAGTCGCCTCTTACGACAAGCACAGTCGCCTTTAACGGCAAGCATGGTTTGCTGAAGACCTATTCTACCCCGGATCTTCACAGGTCTCATATCAAGGAGTATCTCACAACAGTTGACGCGCACATGACGTCTCAAGGAACATAGGGGGCGCAATTTCACGGCAGCATAATTTTCTTTGACCGGCAGTTTAGAAAAGTCATGATTTTTAAGTCGTAAAAATGTATTTGACATCTTCTTTCAGAGAAAATGTATGTGTGTCTTCAAATTCCATATAAATTTGGAGATAAGTAATGTGTGGATGGAAACACAATTTGGTACGAGGAAAACAATGTGGCGTTCTTTGAAGTATACTGAACAAAAAAAGTTATGGATCATCAAGTTTGGGGGGGCTGGTTGGTTTTTTTTGGTGGGTTTTTTGTGGTTTTTTTGGCGGGGGGTGGGGTGGGGGTGGGGGGGGATGTGTTGTAGTGAAGACTGAGCTCACAATTTCATAAAACAAAATATCCAAAAAATATTTATGATCCCTAACGTTATTGTTCAGTATGTAACTAATGGGATTGTATCATTTGAAACGCAAAAACAAAAAAATTAAATGCTTTGAAATTCAATAAAAAAATGTTGCCTTTCACGAATACAGTGTATTCGTGAAATGTAGACGAGTGTAGGTGTTTATGTAGGAAGAAAAAAATCATGTGATAATATATGTTATTTTAATGAAAAAACACAAATTTTATATGTTTCTAATACTGATAATCTTTTTTGTTTTTATCTGGTCCTGTGCAAGTATAAACAATGTTATTTCATCTTTTGTCTTTACAGACGGGGAAAACCAACTGCGTGACGGAAAAATGCCCACGTCCAAAATGTGAAACACCGATTATCGTTCCCGGCAAATGCTGCCTGACCTGCCAAGGTAGGTCACGTGACCAGCGCCCTGAAGCTGTATAATGCAACCTTCTTCAAACGACCCAGCTTAATTTCATTCGACCGTGAATGTGGAGTTTAGTATAGAGGAAGGAGACGTTTCGTAACGCAACCACTGGTAACAACATCTTGTGAGATGATATCTTACCTCGATGAGGGACATGCATTATTTATCAGTGGTCCCGATTGAACTTTCGTACCTCTTAATATATTATGTTATATATTCTATCTTTTTAACATCCCTGTGAAACATGCATGGTTAATCGTGTTTGCTTAAGCCATTCATTATGAAAAATATATTTAAAACTATATTCCATATTATCACCTGTTTCTGATATCGTAGTATATCTCGAACTTGGACATGTGTAAACCCCAAATTTCAAAAAAGATGTGTGTTGAGTGGGTTACACTGATGTGGCGTTTCATATAAAGATGGGTCACCCTTTTGTGTAAGAGTGAGTGAGTGAGTTAATATTTAACGTCACATCTTTTGTGTAAGAACTTTTCAAATGCATGTATAAGCCATTCGTTGGGTCGTGGCTGTTGTTGTTTGTCATTGTATCCCGATGTCGGGTGTTCGATGCTCGTCGTTGGTTTGCTTGCTCCAGATCCACTCTCACTTTGCAGGCTACCGCGATGTAACTGCAGTATTTGCTCACTGCTTTGCTGTGAACACCGCTGTTTGATATTGGTGATAGCATCTCACGTTTAGCTAAACATTCCAGTAGATGGCTTATTGATCAGATGTTTAATGGTAAAATTCGATCATTGCTTTATTCAGCTTGACGGCGGTATAAAATACATGTTGTTGGTTTTGATTTGATTAAAGATTATTTTCACTTTCTCACGAATGCCCCCACCCTACTAAGGTGTTGTTATTGTTCAGTTATGTTTGTATTTTTCAGTCGTTATTTTTTGCAAATGGTCCTGTAACTAAACCTATTAACAAAGTAACGCAACACAATTTCAGAATGCTAATGTAATTAACAACCATTATTAATTCAGTTTTCAGAGGAATTCAGAAGTATGAAGTTCTTGTTCACACACTCACTCTTGTTTTGTTCTCTATTCTATTTGGAGACATCGTCAAAATAAAAAAATACTTTAAACAACTTTAAAGAACACTACGAAAAAAAGGCGGTCTCATAGTTCTAATTCATTTTCAAGGTCATCCTGACCTCATGGACTCTCGGTGCTAGATGATTTAACTTAATAAAACCTGATGATGCGGATGTGAAAAACTAGGATGTCTGAAGTAAATTGGATATGCCAAACCCAGAGCGGTATAATGTACACCAGTTTGTATATTTTACTGTTAGAAATACAGCTGTGCCCGGCGTCCACGTCCACCATTTTGTATTAATGTTTGAAATACTTCGCGGAAAAGAGTCCACAATCCATTTTCCCTTTTGAAATACTTCTGTGCTTCTCGGCGCTCTCTTACGTTTCCTTTGTTGCTTTTGTTTGCCTTATGCCTTTTCATGTGTGAAAAGGGGACACTGTTCTTATTTAGACCCATTTGACAACATTCCTCCTACAGTCCAGACGAGTGACGGAAGTGGGAAGGACACAGACAACCCCGGATGTAGGTTTGATGGAGAGATTTACGAAGATGGAACAATGTTTCCATCCAACCGAACGGGCCTGAAGGCCACGAGGAATGATCAGTGTGTCATGTGCTTCTGTCAGGTAGGTGGACTAGTCACGTGACGTGACACTTGGGCAAAGATTTGCATTTCCGCGAAGCCTCATAGATTCGGCTCTATTGTCAGGAATGATGACCCTGTTAATAAAGCGATAGTAATAACCAGCTAATAAAGACATGAATAAATCTGTTGTTAGTGTCAGTCTACTAGCTCACGTTTACACACATAGTATAGTGAGTGAGTATAGGTTTCGCCGCTTTTAGCAATATTCCAGCAATATCACGGCGGGGGACACCAGAAATGGGCTTCACGCATTGTACCCATGTCGGGAATCGAACCACTAGGCTACCCGACCGCCCACACACATAGTATAAGACCCGTAAAGATTCCGAAGTAGAATATGTCTTCAGCAACCCATGCATGCCGTAAAAGGTGACGATGCTTGACGTAAAAGGCGACTAACGGGATCGGGTGGTCAGGCTCGCTGACTTGGTTGATGCATGTCATCGATCCCAATTGCGTGGATCGATGCTCATGTCAATTACTGGATTGTCTGGTCAAACTCGATTATTTACAGGCCGCCGTCATATAGCTGGAATATTGCTGAGTGCGGCGTTAAACAACCAACAAACCAACCAACCAACCAACACATAGTATAAGAAGCGGGGCATAGTGTCGTCTTAGGTGCCGCAGTTCACTGTGCAGAGTTGCCTCCCTTGGAAACGCCAGAATGCTATAATCCTGGGTTCGAATCCCGGTTATGTTTCTAGTACCTGCATCACTTCGGGCCTTCCTCCCACGTTAAGCTGACAAGCCGTGATGTGGCCGACATACTGTTCAAAGGGGCGTTATACCCAATTTCACCTACTTAACGATAGTCGTAGCGCTAAGATCGCTTTGTGGATCCAGTCCAGAGGAACACATACTGGATGCGTTATTCCCTATAGTCTCAATACTTCATTTGAGCAATACAAAGTGTTATCCCACATAGGATTCATTTGACTTCGATTATTTCAGACGGCCCAAGTCCTCTGTCATCTCAAAACGTGTGAGAAAAAAGAAAGCTGTAAAAAATACATTAATGTTTCCGATGACTGCTGCCCTCACTGTGAAGGTAAGATGGCGACCGTATCACTTCCGGTACAGTAGTGAACCAGTCAACAAACCCGTTCTATTGAGATAAATGTTTATCCTGGATACCATGATTTACTAGCTATACTTTCTCCAGATTCAAATAAACAAACTATAACTGAAAACAGAGGAAGAATATTGATAAGTTTTTCTTTCTGATAAATAAATCCTCCGCAAAGTAGAACAAGAAATTGTAGCTGATATGGTCAAATTCTGCTTTTGTCCCGTTGCAAAGATTACAACTGTCTCACGGGATGATGTCGTGGGTATGGCAACCAACCAAATTACCCCCGATATTAAAATGAACGAAGGGGAATAAATTCAAGTAATTTAAAGTCGATTTGGCAAATTCAGGTCAAAACTTAATCAATTCAGCACTTTAATTTATTGACCGACCATTTAATCATTCAATATTTAGGGTGTGGTCGGTGAGGGGACGAGGTGCTTGAATTGTTATTAGAAACAGATTAGCATTTCTGTCTCTGTTTCAAGACATGCATTAGTTTGCTCCAAAAACATTTTATTAAAATTCACCCCCCCCCCCCTCCCCCCCACTAACACACACCCTCTCCTCCTCCTCCCCCCCCCCCCCCCCCCCCCCCCCAAAAAAAAACAAAAAAACAAAAAAACAAACAAAAAAACCAACAAAACCAGTATATCAATTTGGCGGTTTTTTAATTTGAAACTGCCGAGACATACCTGATATAATCTTTATTGGTCACTTTGTATTTGCATGTAGAACTAGGCTTTTTTACATTTTTAAATAACAATTTCAATGAGTAATATTGAATGCCTGTCTAGTTAAGTTAACACAAACTATTCAGATTAAAAGCGATAGTTGCTTAACGCATAGTTTTAAAGATAACTCTCTTTAAAGGGAGACCACTCTAGTAGCGTTATTTTTGCTCTTCCCTTACAGAAGAGGACGATTACGAAGATTATGTAAACAAAATTCTTTCAGGTGAGCGACCAGACAATGTCTCCGATTCTGGTAAGACAGATATTTGGGCAATATTTTGTAGATTAACATATCTTAGTACCACGTTCTTGTGTTATGCTGTTCTCGTCACTTCTCGTGACCATCCGTATCGTTCCGGTAACCTTTCTTTGGCTGCACGGAAAGAGACGACTTGTTACGAATGGGGCTGTTTTTGTTCTTCGGTACATTCCGACATATTTCGGCGACTTTAGTCGTTCCTCAAATGAAATTGACCTGTCATTGTTCGGAGTATGTATTCAAACATGCAAAACCATTTTTAAAAAGATGTACTGCTTATTTGGGGAAAGTGTACATCAGTGCAAGGTCAAGGCAATTTCTATTTAAAACAGCATTCGCGTAAGAACTTGGCCGGCAACTGAACTGAACACGACTGTGAAATGTAATCTTAACTGAACTCCACGAATGAATTTCTTGTTTTCAGCCGTTTCTAAGTGTAAAATCATTATTAGCCTGAAGCGGTAGTATAATCGTCCGGTATCAGTGAGTCGCATTCAGATTGGAATCGTCGATTTTTGACTCAAAACGAAGCATGCCGACCCAAAATACCTTTGATCTATTCAATTTCCTGTATGAATCATTTGTCAATTATTTTTTCCAGTCGTGTTTAGTTTCTGGCATCCTCGTTTATCCAGTGTAGCATATCTCTATTCTATTATAATACATTCCCTGGGCCCCTTCGCCACCATAGCATCAGGAATTGATATCATTAACATCCTATCTCATCTCAGTAAGCTTCATAGAACTTCTCACGCTCATAGGTGTAATTCAAGGGCGGTGTATGTGTGCGTGCGTGCGTGCGTGCGTGTGTGTGTGGATCCGCCTATGTAATTTGAGTAGACTGCTATCCTTAGCGTCACCTATTTCGAGTCGATCCCAAAGGCGATGGGCCCAGGGTGTTTACCTTAACATAATGGAGAAAATACCCTGTATTATCGAGGATGAGTCACAGGACTTGCACAACCTTCTCACACATTCTGAAATGTCTTTAGACAATTTCTAATATGTTCATCTCTCTTTCGATATAAACCCGTTAGAAAAAAGTTTTAAGGTCATGTAAAACAAATATTGTTTTCCCTCCTATTGGGGATAATAAAAATGTGAATGAACTTTGTTAATATGTTTGCGGGAAACAATGTCTTCTTTACATGACCTTACATTGACCTATATGTAACATTACATTCTACTTACTGTGAAACTAATTTCTAAACTTGTATCTTTCATTACTTAGTCACATTTTACATGCATTTAATGATTGTTTCGCAAAATATTGTAGATCTGCTCTAGACGAAGTCGTTTAAAGGCCTTAATATAGACTAAAACCTTGCTGCATGTTCTTAGTGATTTTATCTTGTCGGCGGCCTTATAGCATAATTTGTACACCTGAGTGTATTTCCAGTCGTGATGTAGCTGAGATGATGCTGACTGCGCCTTTTATCACCCCAAACTGGCTTCCATGGGAGATATTGCGTGGGTGAGATCAAGTGATAACTCCTAGGAGATATCGCAACAGTAAAATTGCATCACAGTGCTGTGAAGACCATTGTGACGTCATTGTTACATGACATCACAATCAAATGACATCACTAATCTGTGCCACTTAAGTTGTAATTGTACTGTTTACACTCAAGACAACGGTTATTACTGTTTACAAATAGAAAAGGTTTGAAGAATGATTTTAAAGGGTAAATAGAATTCGTTTCTTCCAAGATCACATATTTCAAGATGCGTTGATAAAAGTAATAATAACCTCGGATAGCTTCGTTTTATCAACATTTGAGCTCGGAAGACATTCATTAAGATTCTCTGTATAACGCAATTCAATCTGTCGGGCGATATTTCTATTTTTACAAGGATCTGTTATAAACGATGGTTATAAATTATCTCAAGTATTCGTTTCATGACAATAGTGTCCACGATATCAAGTGTAGTTATCTCCCCTTAGTAATGTTACAATCCCATTCATTTTATTAATGAAATATTATTAATGTTCAAAGATAACAGTATTGACATTTATGTTTCGTCAGGCGTTAAATATTATTTGTTTGTGGTTCTAAACAGATAATAATAGTAGATCATTTTCGAAACAAGGATTTTCAATATGGCTGATCTGGCTTTTGACACGAGATGCCTGATGGAGATAAACGGTTAGTTTTATTCAAATGGGTGGCGTTTTCTTCCCTGACTGTAAAGGAACTATCTTGTATTTAGTAACTACAATGCACGGACCCAGTGTCAGCAATTGGCTGAAGTCCTGAGATGCTCTTTTGCAGATTGTACAGCTGGAAAGACGAATGGCAAAACGTGGCATCCGTTGATTGGCACATACGGCCCTGACAAATGTGTGCTTTGTAAATGTAAGGTAAGCATCGCTGTCAGCGATGGCTCCGTGTAGGCCATTTTCATAATGACACGTCGCGGGAATCCATTTTTTCATGAAGTATATAACATCCAAATATCAAATTTGTAACTTAAAAATGGCTACCAGTGCGCCGCGCAAGAAATTCATCATCTGGCAAAATGTCCTGCTTAAGAACATCATTATATAAATTGTCGGTCAAAACAAAATATAAACTTGAAAATTGGATTTGGCCAAAAGTTACAAACGTTATCAACAACGTTACTAGGATGAAAAACATCACCGAAACACTGCAAACTTAAGCCCCAAAACACAACTGTTTATACCCGAATAAGCCATGGTGTAACCATTTCTTTGTTCCATTTTTAGTCACCATCAAACATGTGTGTATACTTCCTTGGCCCGGCAGTATATATAGTAAACTACGTTTATAACGAACACGCTTATAACGAAGTGCTGGATATAACGAACTGGTTTTTTTGTCCCGGCCATTTGCTGTATATATATACTGTATATATGCTTATAACGAACTACGGTTATAACGAACTAAAATGTGTGGTCCCTTTGAGTTCGCTATAACCGTAGTTTACTGTAAACTTTGTCAAGGGTTTACACTTTTTAGCTTATTTGGGGTAGGTGCATTTGTAGCAAATGTTTGGCCGAGATCAAATTTGAAAGATGGAAATAGCATAAAACAGACGATAAACATTGATAGGCAGAGTCGGCACCAAACTGAAAACATCCGCCACTAAAGTTACGACAAAACCGCAATCAATTTCTTCACTAGACTTGTACGTTGAAATAACGCGAGAATCCTCTCAACCTTGCCCCGTTTCGCCTGTGTTCCCGAGAAAACAAATGTGAAATGTCGACACTGGCAATTGTAAACAATTGGCTTTTAAATGCTTACAGTTCCTCAGTACTAGCAGTGTCGAATAAGGTCGTTTACATTAACTGTACTTGTCGGATAATAAGTTCAAACCCTATCAAAGACTCACTGTGATTAGCGCAAGACACTAATGGCACCAGGCATAGGCACCAGATTGAGGAGTCTGACCTATCTCAAGTACACGCAGTGGCGACATCGTCAGACTATGTACCCTACTGATCAAAATTAAGTCCCCTTCATCGCGACTGGACCACTGTAGGTGATCGCGATTCGGTTGCTACAGGATCACGATTGAGGGGGAGATTGTTTTGAAAAGTAGTGTACTGTAAGTCCGGGTGCAACGAGCAACGTCTCGTCGCTATTCAGATGAAAAATTGCTAATACGACGTCAAGTTTTAACTGACACACTGTAACGAGCACTCTCGGTTACCCAGTGCATTCTATCTTCATTCTATAGTAATAAGTAATCTTTACACAGGATACATCTTGCCACTGAATATAATCTGATTGTACGGCTCGTCTTAACAGCGTGTCTTTCGAATGCTCTGTTTGTTGTTTTACGCCGCACTCAGCAATATTCCAGCTATATGACGGCGGCCTGTAAATAATCGAGTCTGGACCAGACAACCCATGTGATTGACATCATGAGCATCGATCCACGCAACTGGTAGCCGATGACATGCATCAACCAAGTCAGCGAGTCTGACCATCCGATCCCGTTAGTCGCCTCTTACGACAAGCATAGTCGCCTTTTACGGCATGCATGGGTTGCTGAAGACCTATTCTACCCCGAATTTTCTCGGGTCTCTTTCGAATGCGGTTCAAAAAGAAGCTATTGTGGCGAATGAATCAAGGGTATTTATCTTAATAGAAGGGATATACAGTAAACTATGGTTATAACGAACTCAAAGGGACCACTAATATTAGTTCGATATAACCGTAGTGAGCATATATACAACATATATACAGCAAAAGGCCGGGACCAAAAAAATATGTTCGTTATGTCCGTCAGTTCGTTATAAGCGGATAACGGAGAATGTGTAATGAGCTACAGAGTAAGTCACAAACCGACCCATATTAACAAACACCCAAACATTTGACTCTTATTGTGTAATCAGTAGTTCGAGACAAACGGAGTTCACATTTGAAACCAAAGACCAAACCTGCGGTGGCCCTTATGTTGAATCACCCTAAGCGATGTGTCGAGTTTAAATAGTTCGAGTTCGAGATTCAGGACCTTCGACTCTAATTGAGTAACTTGTAGTTCGAGACAAACGGATTTAAGATTTGAAACCAAAGTGCAAACCCGCGGTGGCCCTTAAGTTGCATCACCCTAAGCGATGTGTCGAGTTAAATAGTTCGAGTTAACCAGGTTTCGATGTAGATGTTCGATTTCGTTTTATCAGTAGTGACTGAACTGTTCTCGCTTGTTCCAGGAGGGGAGTGTGAGTTGTAAGAGGAAGGAGTGTGTCCCGGACAAAAAACTCCCGTGCTCATCACCTGTCCAGAAGGAAGGAGAATGCTGCAAAACTTGTCCCAAACGAACCCGAGTCACAGATCGGGGCCGGAACTGCAGGAGACGGAAAGGAAAAGATGGTACGTTGTCATAAAGCTCCACTCCGAGCTGTACTAAGGTTAAACAAAAAATGTTCTGGGCCAACAACCCGACCATCGTTTCACTCCCAAACTCTCGGGGGTTTCCGTTATTGACAAATTTTAGATGAGCAGCACCAGAGGAGAGCCATACGATTGATATCACGTGATTGAAATGGACACGTGTTTAGTACGGACATCGTAGGTGGGCAGGGTGTGTGTGTGTGTGTGTGTGTGTGTGTGTGTGTGTGTGTGTGTGCGCGCGCGTGCGTGTGCGTTTGTGTGCGTGTGTGTATTGTAGATCTGAATATTAGTTGTATATATTGTAATTGTTATTTTTCATCTTTCTAAATACATATCATCAAAACATGTTTCACACGCTTTAAAGTTACCAATCCGATGGTAAATTTCATAGATTCTTGGAGGCATCGTTGACTCGGCCGCCTAAGACACCGAAGTTTAATGCACAAAGTTGCGTAACTAAGTCGTGCCAGGATCTGCTTATCATTGGTTCGAATCCCGGATTATTGATGATTATGATCTTTGATTTGTGAGCAGCATTCGCGTGTTCGTCGGATTCAAACCAGTGAAAAAAACGTCTAAGACGTGTATCGTTTCAATTTTCCCCAATACAATACACTGTTGTGGATCTGAGGTGGCCGAGTGGTTTCTCAGTTTGCTGGGCAGAGTTGCGTCCTTCAGCAATACCAGGATCCACTGTTCACGGGTTCGAACCTCATATTCGCCCCATCGTTATCACTGATCAGCTACAAATATGCCACGTGGCTATTGTCTTCTCTTAGCGCCACTTTTGAACTGTCGCCCCTTTGAAATAATGTTCAAAGCGGCGTTATCCCTAACTCACTCACTCACTCACTCACGACGTTATCATTTTTACAGTCAAGCGACGACGGCGACGTTGTAATAAAAAGGGAGGAAGAAAGCGAAAGAAGCACAAACAGTCTACACCTTCTACAACAACGAGGGTCATACCCACGTCACTTCCGCCCACCACACCGCCGCCATCTTTGTTCTCCACCATGTGCCTGCCAAAACGAGGTGACAGATACGTTTATCAGATCGAAGAGAAACATTCAATAACGTTAATGTTCGACGTGCCGACAGGGAATTCAGTAGAAGTATTAAAGTGGACCGTCAGAAAAGGTAATGTTTTTATTCAAAATGTGAATTTATGTCTATTCATATATATTACTTATTCGTTTGATAAGTCGTATGTATGATTAATATGCTATTAATAATTATATGACTTTGAAGAGCATTAAAGCAGAACATACATTAAACACATCATATAAACAACCGGGCGAAAGAAAGTAAATACTTGAAAACTGGATTTGCCAAAAACATTACAAATGTTGTCAAAGCGTTACTAGGCTGTAAACACAGGAACTCGTTATTGGTCAGTAAATAAATATATACCCCCTATATGTAAGCAGAGAATTTTACATGTAGGGGGTATATATTTTTATTTACTGACCAATAACGAGTTCCTGTGGCTGTAAACAGTCGCGGAAACACTGAAAACTTAGGTCGAAAACATAACTTTGATACCTGTATAAAATACATCACCATTGAAAAACCATTTCTTGTTTGTTTGATATTAGCAAACGTCAAATATTGGTGTAGACTTTCTTTTGGCCGGCCGACTGCTGTGTTAAACGACATTCGTTTTTCAACATAGATTTTCATACACCCATGGGGGGTACGGGTGGCCAGGCGTCTAAGGTGCCGCGATTCGCTGGGCAGAGTTGCGTCCCTTGGGCACGCCAGAAACCTATGATTGTGGTTCGAATCCCGGTTCGATCCGATTATGTTTCTAGGTTTGTCTGCACCGTGCCTGCATCACTTTGGACTTTCCTCCCACATTAAGCTGACACGCCGTGATATAACTGGAATACTGTTGAAAGCGGCGTTAAACCCAACTCACTCACTCACTCATACTCCCTTGGTTATTATACATGGACTTACGAATGTTATGAGTCCAATGTTGTACGGTCGTTACATGCTTAAACATACACTTGCGGAAGTCTTTTCTACCATGCTTAAACATACACTTACGGAAGCCTTTACTCCCATGCTTAAACACACACTTACGGAAGCCTTTACTCCCATGCTTAAACACACACTTACGGAAGCTTTTACTCCCATGCTTAAACATACACTTACAGAAGCCTTTACTCCCATGCTTAAACACACACTTACGGAAGCCTTTACTCCCATGCTTAAACACATACTTACGGAAGCCTTTACTCCCATGCTTAAACATATACTTACGGAAGTCTTTACTCCCATGCTTAAACATATACTTACGGAAGTCTTTATTCACATGCTTAAACACACACTTACGGAAGCCTTTACTCCCATGCTTAAACACACACTCGGAAGCCATCACTCCCATGCTTAAACACACACTCGGAAGTCTTTACTCCCATGCTTTAACATACACTTACGGAATCCTTTACTCCCATGCTTAAACACACACTCGGAAGCCATTACTCCCATGCTTAAACATATACTTACGGAAGTCTTTATTCACATGCTTAAACACACACTCGGAAGTCTTTACTCCCATGCTTAAACACACACTCGGAAGCCATTACTCCCATGCTTAAACATATACTTACGGAAGTCTTTATTCACATGCTTAAACACACACTTACGGAAGCCTTTACTCCCATGCTTAAACACACACTCGGAAGCCATTACTCCCATGCTTAAACACACACTCGGAAGTCTTTACTCCCATGCTTAAACATACACTCGGAAGTCTTTACTCCCATGCTTAAACACACACTCGGAAGCCATTACTCCCATGCTTAAACACACACTCGGAAGTCTTTACTCCCATGCTTAACCACACACTTACGGAAGCCTTTACTCCCATGCTTAAACACACACTCGGAAGTCTTTACTCCCATGCTTAAACACACACTCGGAAGTCTTTACTCCCATGCTTAAACACACACTCGGAAGTCTTTACTCCCATGCTTAAACATACACTCGGAAGTCTTTACTCCCATGCTTAAACATATACTTACGGAAGCCTTTACTCCCATGCTTAAACATACACTTACGGAAGTCTTTACTCCCATGCTTAACCACACACTTACGGAAGCCTTTACTCCCATGCTTAAACACACACTCGGAAGTCTTTACTCCCATGCTTAAACATACACTTACGGAAGTCTTTACTCCCATGCTTAACCACACACTTACGGAAGTCTTTACTCCCATGCTTAACCACACACTTACGGAAGCCTTTACTCCCATGCTTAAACACACACTCGGAAGTCTTTACTCCCATGCTTAAACATACACTCGGAAGTCTTTACTCCCATGCTTAAACACACACTCGGAAGTCTTTACTCCCATGCTTTAACACACACTCGGAAGTCTTTACTCCCATGCTTTAACATACACTTACGGAATCCTTTACTCCCATGCTTAAACACACACTCGGAAGTCTTTACTCCCATGCTTAAACATACACTCGGAAGCCTTTACTCCCATGCTTAAACACACACTCGGAAGTCTTTACTCCCACGCTTAAACATACACTCGGAATCCATTACTCCCATGCTTAAACATACACTTACGAAGTTCGAGGTTTCTATGATATAATATACACTTACGAAGGGTCGTTTCTCCCGTGCTATAACATATAGCTTCGTGTACTATTACACCCATTTTAAACATACTCTTACGAAGGTCGTAACTTACTCCATGCTATAACATACATTTACGGTCGTTAGGTCGTTACTTTCATGCCGTGTGCTATAACATTGCGCCCAGAGGGAAGGAGTGGCGGTATTGCTCAATGATAGAGGGTCATGTATAGCAAATAAGCCTCGAGGGTTTAAGGAGCTCACTCACTCACTCACTCACTCACTCACTCACTCACTCCGGGCTTTTATCACTTCCAGGGAGAGTGTCGGAAATGATGACAGAAAACAGACCCGCCGCCGCGGTTCGAGCTACGATATCCCAGTCCCAGGTGCTAGGAGCCACAAACAAGAGTAAGTATTGAACACGTGTTGAATTCCTCAAGACCCTAAATTAGCCATACACTCCAACAGGGATTAAAATGCAGATCCCCAGCAGGCTATGTTTTTCTAAGACGTGACTAAGTGGATTGGATGGTCAGTATCGGTGCCAGAAAAGAACTTGACGTTTCAAGATAGCGTCTTGAATTTTTAAGATAAGAATTTGAATTTTCAAGTGAAAAATAATAATTTGTGGCCTAATGGGTCTCCGTACATATCATCCCGTGAAGATCCCGAGTAGAATTAGTCTTCAGCAACTAATACTTGTCGATAGAGGCGACTAACGGGATCCGTTCGCTGAATTGGTTCATTGCATGTCATCGTATCCCAATTGCGTGGATCGATGTTCATGATACCAATTGCCTGGTTCGACTCAATTATTAACAAACCGTCGTCATATAGCTGGAATAGTGTTGTGTGCGGCGTAAAACAACAAACACACACCCAGTCATATATTTCTGCGGGTGACAATTTGTAATGCGTCCTTGAACAAGAGTATTCGAGGAGGATCGTGTGTGTCAATCTTACAGTAGCGGCAATCACTGTCGTTGATCTGTCAGCACCTGTCGGTTGGTTGGTTGGTTGGTTGTTTAACGCCGCACTCAGCAATATTCAAGCTATATGACGGCGGTCTGTGAATAATCGAGTCTGGACCAGACAATCCAGTGATTGATATCATGAGCATCGATCCACGCAATTGGGATCAATGACATGCATCAACCAAGTCAGCGAGCCTGACCACCCGATCCCGTTAGTCGCCTTTTACGGCAAGCATGGGTTGCTGAAGACCTATTCTACCCCGGATCTTCACGGGTCACCTGTCAGTATCATACTCACGTTCGTAAGTTACACCAAAACAGGAAGTATATATATTGTCTCTTTGGCCCGTCACTAAGCCAAAATTATTAGTTTAAATCACAATTTCTAGATTATATAAATAATTAGACCAACTTGTCCCTGTAAAAGACTGGCGTCCTGTACTGTCCCCTTATCTAGACTTGCCTGTTATAAGGATGGAATTACTATACACTCATGGACTTATCATACAGTACAGCAAGGCTAGTCAGAGATCTGAAGGTCCACGACGTGATAGGTGGCTGAGGTAAGGTGAGGTGAAATGGGGTTTAACGTCGCGTCCAAGATTATTGAACTTAAATAGCGACGTGCATGTACGTGTGTGTGTGTGTGGCTGCTTGTACTAGTCCGGACTGATGCCGATTTATAGTGCTAGCTCAATGAGATACCATGCCGCAGTTTAACATGAATACCCCACTCAGACACAGTATACTGACTCCGAGCCGACCAGTCCTTGTTTTAGCCCCTTAATGCCGAGCGCCAGACAGGGTAACAACAAGTACCATCTTTTAACGTCTTTGGTGATAGGTGACTGAGACATTGTTTGTGCGTTATTGTTTTTTGTCAGCTGTTGGATTGACAGACAACAGATTTGAATTATTTAAATTTGATTTGCTAGGACTGCCAATGCGCTCCGAGCCTCATAATCGTGTTGCTGGAACGTAACCATATAAATGAAACCTTAAACCAACTCGCTCATAAATATGATATCCTTCCATTAGAGCCATGCCATTATTTCTATTGAAATATTCAAGTTTTTATCTTTAAAATTCAAGTTATTAAGTTGAAAATTCAATGAACTTACCAAGGCTTCACCTACTGTTTTGAGCTGACGCTGTTGTCAGATAAGAAAAATGTAATTTTCAACAAAATAATTTGAATTTTCAAGATAAAAAAAGGTTTCTGACCCTAATGGGCTTCCGCAGATATCACCCCGTGACAATCAGGGTTAGAATAGGTCTTCAGCAACCCATGCTTATCGTCAGAGGCGACGAACGGGACCAGACCCACTTGCACAAAGCGATCTTAGCGCTAAGATGATCGTAACTCCCATACTTTACCCTTGGCTTACAATAGTCGTAGGGCTAAGATCGCTTTGTGCAGGTGGGCCCAGGTGGTCAGCCTCGCTGACTTGGTTGATACATTCATCGTATCCCATTTGCGTCAATCACTGGATTGCCTGGCCAATGATGCAATTACTGCAGTTTTACATGAACTATTAACAACCCATCGTTGTTTTATCTGTCCTCAGGAAACTTCAAGAAGTTCAAGCGGAAGTTGCGTAAGAAAACGCAACGCTGCGAACCATCATGTCGGCGGAGAGTTGTCACGAGTTGTTTGAAGAGACTGAAAACCAAAAGTGCAAAATTTGGAAAACAGTGTGATAAAAACTGAGAAGAGTTGCCTGCTCAAGTGACTTCAATCCATGAAATGACATTGTTCTGGCGACAGGAACGATTTACATATCAGTCACGTGACTGGCAGACATTTTGCTTCGTTCGACCGGAAGTGGTAACATCTTTGCAGGAAAGGTTCACACCTCGTTTTATGACTTTCTGTGCGGATATAGAGTACTGTTACATTGTCACGTGACCGGAAGTGACGTCAGGTTGTGAAGCTGTCAGTTTGTGTTTTCATGTGTCGTGATTGGACGAGTGGATCCAATCATTTTCAGGGCGATTGTCAGACAAAACCCGAGGGGTGCAGACTCGAATCGTATCTCTTTAACCCGACAAGTTGCTAGGGTTGTAGATGTAGCCTCCATGTCTTTAAAAGACGCCCACAGCCTGTAGTGGCTTATGCACATCCTGCTCGTGCATCTATCAAAGTGCTTATACTTTTTGTATATATAGACGGTGTATAATATATATTTTGTAGGTGTATATGTCTCGCGGAATGGATGTGTAAAAATTCGTATTGAGATATATGAACTATTTATATGAATATGTTACAGCTATTTTGTGAATATTTTTGTTTATACTAGAGTGTGCAGTTGATCAGCAGATGCTCACCGTCGAGGTTATCTATCTCAAATTGCGCCAGCCTTATATCGAGGACATTGGCAGATAACCAAATTGAGCCAGCCTTATACCGAGGACACGGGCACGGCACACCGTCGAGTGATTCAATATGATCGTTTACATTGTTAATGTATTCAAAATGTTCTGAACGTCCAAATCCTGATTTTCAAACCAACGGTTCTAAAAATTGGTTAATAGTAGTCGTTATAGAGGGGAGTCAAAGTACACTATCGGGTATATAAAGAATACTTGACACTTTTAATGGATAACAACTTTTTTATTCTTTGTAACGCCGTTTCAGGGCAACGTCTTGACCCTACATCAGGAGAATGAAGGGGTAATATAAAGGTTCCAAAGAAAAATAATTGTAAAACAAAACCAAGAACTTATCTCGTGTGGCATTTTCCGGTAATGCAGGGTCTCCTTACAACGCGCACAGTCAAAGAATTCATTTTCATTAAATGCACGTTCAGCAGAAGTCTTCAAACAGAAACGTATAAACCACGTGGTGAACATCTTCCCGAGGCAAGAGAGTTAACTGACTATAAAAGTCCAGTTTCCACCCTTGCCAAACTAGGCTGGTATTATGGAGTTATATTTTGGCTCTACTAACGAGTCTATGCATAGTCCAATCAAAATCGCGCACCGAAATCGAAATCCGGTTCGTAAACTGTCGTGCAGATTTCGGTCGATTGCAGGATTTGCAAAGCATGTGCACAGCCAACTCGTTGTCAGCAGATATTTTCAAAATCTTTTCATGTTTTTAATCAAGGTGCTCACGTGATTTTATGCATTTCGCGATGTAAGACCCGTTTTATCACAATATAGATTTTAATTATCGATCAGATCGTCCTGACTCGGCGCCACCATTTTGTGTGAAACAAACGCAAGTGATGCGAGAGGTGGAATCTGATTGGTCCATAGGAGAGGCTTAGAAGGGACATAACTGGTAATAGCCACTGGTGGCGCTAAGGTCGAGCCCAGTAATTCCAGCCTAGTTTGGCAAGGGTGGAAACTGGACTTTTAAAGTCAGGTAACTCTCTTGCCTCGGGAAGATGTGTGGTGAACTGATGTCTCATAACACAATAAATAAACAGCAAGTGATACCGTGGCATTTGATTGGCTAACCAAGCAATTGTTCTTTGCGTTTGTTTCCATAAACTGAAAAAATTGGCCACGCCCGCTAACGGACTACTGTATCCTCATTGGCTGATAACAGAATGGGCGGGGCGTGGCTGTATTATTGCGTTGAACGATGTCAATGATTTCGTACTGTTGTCTACAGTTTTGTGTGTTAATAATTAATAAACAGTCTATAAAGTAATTATTGTTGACGTATGTACTTATGTATTTGCGCCTTAGGAGGTAATAAACAACCGCGTATTTACACAGTATGCACACCGGTTTTTAGGATTATACCTCCATAAACGCAAACAAATAATGAAGTCGGTTAAATACATGTGCTCTCAATCAAGATATACACATCCTTCGGATCAAGCAATTTACGTTTTTAACAAATGTTGTCAAAAAACCTTGAAAACTTGAAAATAATCTTACTGAACAAACTTCTTTTGAATTGTAAATTATTTGATTGGTTGTAAAAATATTATTTGAAAGTGAATGTTATCACCTGATTTTGTCCGGTACTGTATTGAGACGAACCCTCTATCACTACGACTACAGACTGATACCACAGCGCTATCTGCAGGCACGTGTAGTGCTTCGTTGTCATTGTTTTCATAAATGTAATAAACTTTCTAAAACAATCAAACAATGCATTATTTGTTATACCTTTGTTATAAATCACCACAGTCGACAATACCACAACCATACAGGTGGTGGAGTAGCCTAGTGGTGAAAGCGTTCGCTCGTCATGGTTCGATTCCCTACATGGGTACACTGTGTGAAGTCCGTTTCTGGTGTCCCCCATCGTGATAGTGGCTCGAATATCGCTAAACTACACTCACCCAAATGAACTGTACTGTCGCTTAGTTAGCACTCAAAGAATATTTCCTCATGGTATTATTTTTTTAAATGCAATTTGATTTGAAACTTTTCAAAATAAAAACAGTCGCGTAATTCACAACTGCTGATATCTCAGACATCCTTTTTTTGAAAATCGATAAATTTGCTTTTGTCGACACAACTAAACAACATTTCATCACACCGTGTGTTCACAAATTCATTGAAGAAATTTATTTTTACATACAATTACCCAGCCATAGATAACTTTTTACAAACTGTTAAGGGATAAGTGATGGTTAAATCAATCAAATTTCACAACAGTTCTTTCAATTTTCAATTACATATAAAAAATAACTCGGTATACTCTCTTTTTGCCCCTCAGTTAAAATCACCACGTTATTATGATAAAGACTTTCGCTACCATAGCTTCGTCTTGAGCCCTATTTGAATGACACGACGCTAAAAACAGCCATCCAATGAAACTACTCCTTTGAGCAAGAAAAATCCTGAGCGACGAGCTCGTATAAGTAAGAGATAGGTGAGATGGTTACTTCCGAAACCAAAGTGTGGTTGCGAATAGCCCAGGGTAGTATCTTACAGAGTGTACCAGAAGGCCTGTCAAGATGTAGCGTTTGGTAGGGGAATTCGGTTGGCTCTAATTGCATGTACATTAAGTATGCACGTTCTGTGTCATGCTACTCAAGTTTTGTAAGGGACACTGGGATATGTCATACTGTCAAAAAACTCAGAAGACAACTTCGGGAAATGTGTACTTGTGTTAAGATGAAGCTGAAATGACTGCATCTCATACACTGAGTTGGATTTAACGCCGCTTTTAATGGCTGAACCTTTGTCTACTTGAATTTGTGGATATATAGCTTTGTATAAAAATGTAGGCTCACATTTTATGTGCACATGAGTGAGTGAGTTGGGTTTAACGCCGCTTTTAACAGTATTCCAGTTATATCACGGCGTGTGAGCTTAATGTGGGAGGAAAGCCCGAAGTGATGCAGGTCTCAGACGTTTACCACTTCGGTGAAACCCACGAGCAGGAGTATGGTCTTCACAAACCTAAAAACAAAATCGGGCCGAACCGGGATTCGAACCCACAATCATAGCTTTCTGGCGTGTCCAAGGGACGCAACTCTGCACAGCGAATCGCGGCACCTTAGACGACTGGGCCACCCGTGCCCCCTTCATTCACTGTTAACATCTCATACATTGCTTGAACATGAGAGGGAAAAATATTTGATCAAAGCATAAGAACGGATTCCAAACAGAGGTCGTGGATGCAAATTAGGTGTCGCTCTATGTTGATGGAGATGGTGTGATCGTGGAAGCAGTGTCCTTGACCTTGGATTGACCTAAACCATAAGAACGGATTGGAGACTGAGGCTGGTGGCGTCGCTCTATGTGATGGAGGTGGTATGATGGTGAAAGCTGTGTCCTTGACCTTGGTTGGACCTTGAAATAACAACGGATTCGAGGCAAAGGTGGTATATCGCGAAGGTATGTTATTGACTCGTGTTTAACTTCGGTACAGAAGAGGTGGTCGTATTTCCAAAGATAGGCTAGCTTCGCAGTCTCTCTACAGTTTCCAGCAACAGTGCATGGGTTAAATGTTTCAACAAGAACCCTACAGCCATAACACACATCACAAGCCTTGTAAATAGCCCCTATCTAAAATTAAATAAACGTTCTTCAACTGTAAACACTCATAAATCATATTCAAACACATAAATCTGACTTTTATTGACTCTAGTAGTCCTGGAAGCAGTTAACGTTACCTCAAGTGAATTATCACTGTCTTAATGATCTTAAAATAACATGGCGGTCTACGGACAGTCATGGCGGACGACGGGGCCTTTCACAATAAGTCATCTGCTCCGACCCTGCCATAAATAATCCTACGACAAGGGACGGATACACAGGTACTTAATTTTCAATTAGCCTGTCTCTCCACAGCGTTGCCGACTCATTGGAGTGAGTCCCTATCTGTGATAAGAAAGCACGAGTGCCTCCCCTGTCTCTGATCGCCTATTTAGGGAGCCTTCCTTTCGTCGAGGAGTCTCGGGGAGCAATCATTGTGATATATCGCACACTATCTGGTTTCAGAGATAGGGACACTTAATGATGTGTTATCAGGAAGGATCGTATTTGTCAACCTCCTCCTTTGTCTCGTGGACCTGGCGGATCAAACAATTTGTCCCCCCTGCCTCAATGACTCTTCCCGCCGTATATCACGCAGGCTCGCCATTTCGTCGCCAATCAGAAACGTCGGTTCAAGTTACCTGGCCAACGTGAGGATAACAAGCTCCCAACAGCGATGTTACTTACCTGTGAGATAGGAGCCGCGTGATTACAGTGCAGGGAGTAGTGATTATGATGATAAATAGCTCTTGCGATTGGGATATGACAAGAAAAAAAAACCCAGTGTCGATCTCTTGTAGTACACGCGTCTATCGGCTGCTGATAGTGTAAGAGATTTGGGTTTTTTTAAGAATAAATCAATATGAGATGCCGCGGCAAGCGCCTGACAGGAGTGTGTTAGACTGAAGCGGAATTAGAAGGGTACTGCTAGTCGAAATGGAAAAATAATGACCAAACATTCGTACTAATATATATCACAAAAAGACAAATACAGCTTTTAGCCATATAGACAGAATTAGACATAACTTTTTTTATAAACTGTCAGAGTTGTTGCGTTTTAGAAATCTAGGTCAGACTTCTCACGAAATTTCGAATCCATCTAAGAACCAGGATAAATACGTCGTTTTCGCGCCACGGTTCGCTTAACGAAACCACTGAAACATCACGCGTCAGATCCTACACCCAGAACGGCCAGCTGAAAACTATAAAGACCAAGAAATGACATCTGTTTCAAACAACAACTTACTCCAATACGGGTCCGATGCTCACACTATCGACCACTGGCTTTCCTGGTCCAGACGTTATGGCTGATCATCCTGCCATGATACAGCGGCAATCTTACTGATTTCGACATTTATTAACTCAATACCACCCCGTGGGGATCAGAACTGTCCCCTATCACACATGCTTGTCGTCAGAGAGTGAGTGAGGTGGGTTTAACGCCACTTTGAATAGTATTTAAGTTCTATCACGGCGTGTCAGCTTGATGTTGGAGGAAAGCCCGAAGTGATGCAGGTCTCAGATGTTTACCACGTTGGTTCAACCCACGAGCACGGGTATAGTGGTGACAAACTTAGAAACATAATTGGGGCCAACCGGGATTCGAACCCACAGGACCCGTGAAGATCCGGAGTAGAATAGGTTTTCAGCAACCCATGCTTGCTGTAAAAGGCGGCTATGCTTGTCGTAAGAGGCGACTAACGGAATCGGGTGGTCAGGCTTGCTGACTTGGTTGATACATGTCATTGATCC